GCTCCCCTGCCGCTCTCCTGCTTCTCCCTCAATCTTTCGAAATACTTTGGTATATCCATCTGGTATATAAACTGAGCGTCAGTGTCCCTGTTTTTGCTGTTGTACTTACCATTAAATTTTTGATCACAATAACCAATTATAACAGCAGCATTATGCCGACAAGTTAGTCTAAATTAGTTTTAAAATAGCCAACAACGTCACTTTCCTTTAACTTAAGGAAACATAAGTAAAGTTAAGCAATTAACAGTTATTGACACCTACTCACAACCTCTGACAATTAAATTATCTAACCGCTTCTTTCTGTTGAACTGCGGATTAACGTTGCTACTCGCTTATTTTTAATTTCAATTTGTAGTCTTGCTTCTATTTCTTAAGTGCGTAGCTGCGCTCAGTGATAACTTGTATGAAATGTATGGATATATAATTTAAAAATAGAGTATGATAATTACTGTATTTTTAGGGGTGGCTTGGGATCATTTTGGGGGGGCTGAAGCTCACCCTAAATAGGCCTAACGACGCCCATGATAACAGCTACAACGTCACTAGGTGATAGTTATTGTTCGGCTCCATTACAGTATAACCTTAGGGGACTACCATTGCATATGCGGTCCGTCGTTGACTGAAACGTTCTTAAGTTACATGACTATACTGTGAAATAACAAATCATGTTTGATTTGCAATTATATTGCAATACAGCCACAGTTAGGGCACATTTGCGTAAGTGTGACACAGCTGGTGTGACTGTGAGAGACACTAGAGACACTTTGCATGCAGAGGATCATTTGCATCAGTGTTAAACACTTCAGTGCCCTGGCAGTGTTTATTAGTCCTGTGTGTTTAGCTCTTCATGACTGACAGTCGGGTCTCATCGTCGTGGAGCTGAAGGCAAACATGAGCTTCATCATCATCATCTTCCTCTGGTCGCTCATCTTCTGCAGTCAGGGTAGGAGGCGGCTTCTTACTGCTCACTTATAACACATTTATCACAGTACAGCAGAACTTTTCAATCATTATACTCTAATGCTGATTATACATTATACTCTAATTTTTCCTTAATTATTTGGTTTGGTTGGTTTCAGGATCCAGAGGACAGTACACAGTGACTCAGACTCCCCCAGTGAAATCTGCTCTCCCAGGCAGCCCAGTGACCCTGAGCTGTAAAACAGGCACTTCCAGTGGGCTGGGTAATGATGTATCCTGGTATCAGGTGAAACCTGGAGAAGCTCCTAAGCTACTAATATATAAAATTAGCACCCTCCACACTGGGACTCCAGCGAGGTTCAGTGGATCTGGATCTGGGACTGACTTCACTCTACAGATCAGTCAAGTCCAGTCTGACGATGCAGCTGATTACTACTGTTTTGCTCAGTATTATGCTCCAGACTTCACACAGTGATAGAGAGCCGTACAAAAACCTCCCCAGTCTCAGTTCCTGCTCCACAGCCACCCAGAATTCTGCTGTCTACTTATACCAGCTGCTTTGTTGATTAAAAGGTCTCTGTCACTTTCAGAATAACAGTTTTAATGTCGTATAAATATAATATCACTTACATCTGAAGAGAACAAAATAACAATCCCTTCCACCACTTTTTAAAAGTCACAACCTAACAGAGCTGATACACCTTCAGTAATGAGACAACCATGGTTTTGTTACCCACCTTTATAATGCAGATATATTTTCTGATCCCCCCAGAAAGCAATCGCAACTTTTCGGGTGATAAAAAAAGATACAAACGGTAATGTGCTGTCATAGGTGCAGAAAATGTGCAGTATTAAATATTAAACGATGTATTACAATAGACATCATTTTAGAAAACACACAATAAGCAACCTGCTGTTTAAACGTTGCTGCTCTTGTTAATCAAGTTTTATTAAAAAATAATGCATCCCAATAACTGACATTATATTTATATAATTTAAAAACTTGCATTTAATGA